GGCAGGGGGCGGCACTCAAAAAATAGTAAAGTCTGCCTTGAGCAAGATAGCGTGTTCGCGGTGGGAATGAACAGGCCATAAAAAAAACAACGATGGAAATGTCTGACTGCTGGCTCCCTTTCTCTTGTTATATGTCTCTCTTTCTCTCTTTCTCCCTCTCTGTCTCTCCCCTTCCTAGTGTGTTCAAGCCGTTCACGCCCATCAGCCATGTCACAATGGAGGACAGAAAGGGTCCTGAAGGAAACGAGTCCTGGACCCCAACCACTCCCCCAAATCTTGGTCCTCAACAACTGTTTAACAATCCCGGAGGCTGGGGAGGTCCCCGAGACCCCGAAAGCGGCGAAGCACCTCAGGACTGCTTCCCCTCAAGAGCCTCCTGCTTCATGACAACATCTAGACTTAAGTCGGGCATGTCCCCCTCCAGGCGTATTTCGGATGAAAATTAACAAACAGTCCAAACATGTTCAAGAACAGTTAAAAACTAATAGAACATCGACCCCAGACCCCAAATTGTTCCTGTTACGATGTTTGAATATTCGTCCTGTAGGTAGACACGCCCGTCTTAACCTCAGGAGCCTCCCGCTTCATGACAGCGTCTAGGCTCTAGGCTTTGTGCCATGTGGCCCGCTCTGCAACCCTTCGAACGTGGCACACCTAATTAGGGCGGGGAAGGGGAGAGGCTGTTCTTGCTTACGCCAGCCTTCGGGGATCTACCGACCCCGGTCCATCCAAACCTGGGTCAGTCAGGCTTCGCAGGATCCCGCAGGAGCCTGCAGGAGCCTGCGAGGTTCTGCACTCCAACCCGGGTCAGTGCACTCCTGGCGCTCTGGGGGACCCCCGCTGGCACCTGACCTCCGTCGCAAGGCTCCCGCCAGCCTTCCGCCCGACCGACGAGGCCCCCCCCCTCGCCTCGCTCCCGCCGGCCTTCCGCCGAAGACAGTCGGCTCCTCGACCTCTCGCGAGCGAGGGCCCCCCATCCAGAATGAGGCCTCTCAGAAGTGGGCTGCTCCTCAAGAAGCAGCCTTCTTCTACGCAACCTTTCTCCCTCCCCCTGCCCCCCTCTGCGTGGTTGACAATTGTGGAGCTCGTCTCATTACTATTCGCGATCATGCTTGTCACCTGGGCCCCCCACCCTCTCCCACACCCCCATGGCAGAGACACTCGTCTCGCGGGCGCCGTCCGGGAATGGCTAGAGGCAGCTGGGAATGACTAGAGGCAGCTGGTTCCAAGGCCGCGCTGGAGGCAGTCGTCGCATCACTGGGCCCCTCCCCTAAGGCGAAGGCAGGATGATAATAAATTCGCATTGGGATGCAACATAAATCTCTGAGAGCCGGCGGGCCTTCAGGACCTATCGGGTGCGACTGTCGTCCCAGAGCATTCCAGAACGCTCTGAGAGCGTCCTGGGCTCTGGACCGATTTATCCTCATCTGCCTGGTCCCTCCTTTCATCCCAGTTTACGACACTGTTGCGACAACCAATCCATATTGCAAAGCAAATATGCTGCTGACGTCCGCATCACGTGTTGGTAACGTTGATCGTCGTTTATGCCATCCAAGCTGAGATCACACTCCATCATCACACTCCATCCTACAACCGAACTAAATCTCGCAAATCTGGAAAACCATGGTTGCGAGTTTTCAGGTTCACTCATACTTCTGCACCCACGGCGCAAATGAGCTGCCAAGTCTTGATCTGCGTGCTGATCCTCCCCCCCCTCCCCCCGCAAACGCCCCTCATCGCCCGCGGAGTTCCTCAAAAGCGAGGCGCGCGGCTCGCGCGATGACCGCTGGGCACGGGCTCCCGGGCCGGCGGGTTGTGAAAGGGTACCCCTGGCCCAAGGGATCCCTGGTCCCACGCTTTTCGTTCCGTCCTGGAGCCTCTGGGGCCCCGCAGGCCTCGTGAGGGCGCGTTGGAGAAGGTGGGGGCCTCCTGGGGACACCGTTAGAGGAACGTATTCCAAATCCCTTATTAATCGACCCCCCCCTAAAAAACCGGACCCCCCTCCAAATGCGACCTAATTTGTCGGACCCCCCTCTTCGACGGGGCGCCTTTACAAACCAGACCCCCTAGGCTCCAATCCAAAGAAAGCGCCCTGATAAACTGGACCCCCCAGTTACAAAAAAGGCACCTTAAAAAACCAAACCCAGGGGACGATGAAGAATGGATTTGGAGTAAAAGCATAAACCAGATTCCTCGGAAGTCCGCGCGGATTTCTTGGATCGAAGTCGGACGCCCGGGCCAGGTGGGCCCAGCGGTCCACGAAATCCACGCGGACCTCCGAGACAGTCTGTTGATGCACATGCTCGCACTTCGAGCCCAAGTCCTCCTCCACGCTTCCTCCCCCCTCTACGCCAACTCCATCCGCTCCCCCTCGTCCCCTCGATCTCCTGGCCAGCCACCGTTCTTAGAGACGTCCTAAATGGAATCCGAATACATGCGGTCGAAGGATAGCGCCGCGACGGCGATGCATCGCCGATGCATCGGCGGCGCTGGCGGTGCTTCGGCGACGCCAGCGCGGAGAAGATCTGGCTCCCTATCGAACCGCACCTGCGACGCCTCCGCCCCGACTGGAGATGCCGCGACCTGCCTCGCGAGAGACGCGGCCCGAAAACCGGAGCCCATCTCGGGCTCAGAGCGGCTCCTGCATCGGCGATCTCCAAATCTTGGCGGCGCGCACAAGGGGGTGGGAGGGAGGGGGAGGGCTTCTTATAGAAGGAGGCTGTTTCTTAGAAGGCGCTGGCCTGACATCTATAGATAAGGCCCGCGCCTTCTAAGGAGCAGGGGTGCTTCTAAGAAGCCCTCTTCCCTCTTCCCTCCCCCCCACCCCCCTGTGCGCGTGGCTGAGAATTGCTCATGAGATGCCCGCTTCTCGTCCCTACGCTGCCCCAAACGCCGCAGGCAGCCGAGCACCAGGCTACAGTCGACCCGTATCATAAGGATGCGCGATAAGGATGCAGGGGCCTTGGAAGGCCAGTGTGAACGTGTTTCGAACGATGCTGGCCAGCGAAAGTGGCCAAGGATGGGTCGAGGAGGCAAGGATGCAAGAGTACCCTTGGGAATGTTGCCCATCCTTACTATGCGGGGAAACTGTAATCATGGCTTGCCTGCCGATTTTTGTGGAGTACACGGGCACGCGCTTCGCCACAGCTCACTTGCTAGCCTCGGTCCTGCTTTCTAGGATTGAGGAAAACGCTTTTTGTCCCTCGAGCCTCTGGTCAGGTCGGGCATGCCCTCCTACAGGCGGATGCTGGAAGCAAAATGAAATACCGTAGCACCCCGCAATTGCGGATAAGAGTTAGGGGGCGGGCGCGGGCGACGCGGACGTCGAGCCGGCGGACCTCATGGCCCTCACCTTCCCTGTCGATGGCGCCCTCCTCCTCCTCCTCCTCCTCCTCCTGCTCCTCCTCCTCTTGCTCGTCCGCGTACTCGTCCGCATCGTCGTTGGCTTGTTCAGTGAACGTAGTTTGGGTCGCGGGTGGGTCGCAGGTTCTCCACCTGGAGCGAATGCAAAAGAAGCCCGCCACAGGCGCCGAAAATTTTGGGTGGGTCGCGGGTGGGTGCGGTCGCGGTGGTGCGGTCGCCGGGTGGGTCGCGGTTCTCTCCACCTGGGAAATCAAAAGAAATCCGCCGCATGCCGCCGAACAGTTTGGGTGGGTCGCGGGGTGGGTCGCGGGTGGGTCGCGGGGTGGGTCGCCGGTGGGTCGCGGGTGGTCGCCGGTGGGTCGCGGGTAGGTCGCCGGGCGGGTCTCGGGGTGGGTCGCGGGCGGGTCGCGGGGTGGGTCGCGGGTGGGTCGCGGGTGGGTCGCGGGGGGGTCGGGGTGGGTCGCGGGGTGGGTCGGGGTGGGTCGCGGGTGGGTCGCGGGGTGGGTCGCGGGGGGTCGCGCGCGGTAGGACGACGACAAGAACAAACAACAAACAACAAACAACAACAAGAATCGGCATCGCGGAATTCCACTTCAGCCACGCGCCCAGGGACAGTGAATGACCGTTCGGTTCAGCAACAAGAATCGGCATCGCGGAATTCCACTTCAGCCACGCGCCCAGGGACAGTGAATGACCGTTCGGTTCAGCCCCCTCAATCTGATATGCCAAAAAAATGAAACATATACAACACATGCTCAATCATAGTCAAAAGTAGACGAAACATCGTCCCCAGACTACGTTTTTGACACTCTCCGAATACCCCTAGAGGCCTCCTGGATGGGGTCCGAGTAGATGGGGTCGGAGGATCTCGCCGCATCACCGATACATCGGCGATGCATCGGCGATGCTCTGGCGGCGTCGGCGATGCATCGGCGACGTCGGCGTGGAGAACATTGGGCCCCACATCGAGCCGCACCGCCGACGCACCGTCGACGCACCGGCGATGCGGCGCCATCCTTCGACCCCGTCTGCTCCGACCCCATCTCGGAGGCCTGGAGTTCCTCCTGCAGAGGGGCATGCCCGACTTAAGATCGGGCGTTGGCAGAACTGGGTTTAGTGGGACCTTGTTTGGTGATGTGTACTGGGGGGCGCCCCCCCTGCCCCGTTCCACTAACTGACATTGCCGTCACCCGAGAAAACACCAGCTACGGCAGACCTGGTTGAGCGATTCTGGCCAATTTGGTGACTCCGGGGCCCTACTACTCACGGGGTCCCCTTACCTTCGGGAGCGGCCAAGAGGGGGGTGTCCAAGAGGGGGGGGTGCAAATCATGCAAATCATGACCGGCGGCATGTGCGCGGCCCAGCGGGGGGGCCAGGGACGTAATGAAATAAGAAGAGGCGCCATAAAATCTGGGGAAATATCATGGCCCACGCCATGATATCCACCCCCCCCTAGTCATCACCCCCCTCCTCTCCGCCCCCGACTTACCTCGGGCCCTGGCCACACTCGACAGGAAGCCTCGGGCCGGGGACGCCTCTGGCAGCGCACGGGGCCTCGCGAGGCGGGCGCTTCGCACGGAGCCTCGCGAGGCGGGGCACGCCTGCGGCGCGGCGGCGGGGCCGCGCGGCGGGCGCGCCTGCGGCGCGGACGGCTCCGCCGCGGGCGGGGCCGCGCCGCGCCGCGGGGGGGCCGCGGCCTTCGGCGTGGACACCTCGCGGGCGTCGGGCGGCGGGGAGGGGAGGCCGCAGCGCGAGCCCTGCAGTCGAGGTGAATTGGGGAGGACACGCGAGAGGGAAGGAGACTCACGCTGCTCCCACCGTACTCTGAAGGACCACATCCCAGAAATCATCTCGAGCACCCACAAGAAGCGCCGAAACAGTGTCGAACGAGTATCGCCTCCCAGGGCCCGACACGTGGAAACCCTCAAGATTCGGTTTTCGCGGGGTCGGGCGGCGGGGAGGGGATAGGAGGCCTGGAAATGGGCACCGACACCAACACAGGGGGGTGCCTCCACAGGGGGAAGATAATCCTAGATTTCGGTGTTGGTGGTAACATTTCGGCCTCCTTGGAAGCCAGGACAGTACCACCATCACCAAGATCGGGATATTCTTCCCTCGGTGGAGGCACACGGCCGATATTGGTGTTGGTGTCAACCTCTAGGCCTGCGACAGGAGGCCGCAGCGCGGACCCCACAGTCGAGGTTGACTGGAGAGGGCACACGAGAGGACAAAAGACTGAGGTCGGGCGTGTCATCCAACGGGCGGATTTTGGACGAAACATCAAACATAGTCCACACATGGTCAAACATAGTCAAGAACTGATAGAAAAAGTGCAGTGACTATTTTTGTTTATGCTATTTTTGCATGTTCGTCCTGCAGAGGGGCACGCCCGACTTAATACAAGACCATGCAGAAGGCACGGAGGCAGAAGGCCCGGACTGAATACAAGACCTTGCCGCGAGGGGGGTCCCGAGACCGCGTGGCGAGAGGCCGGAGGACCCCACCCCACGGTCCGCCACCGCAAGTCTTCGGGACCCTGGAGGCCCGAAATCGCCCGACACCTCACGGGACGGGCGGTAGGGGGGGGGGGGTCTGCGCACGGTGCCAGCGGCGCACAGCGCGCAGCAGGGCTGCTCCTGTCGAGTCCGGCACCTCGCCTGCTCGCTGCCCCTGGCTGTTGCGCGGCTGCGTCGGCGGTCTTAACAAGGGTGATCAGCAGGCTGCTTTCCTCGGATAAAGCAGAGCGTGGGAGATAAGAAGCGGGGGTCCCAAAACGGTGCGGTGACAGACCGTGCGGTGGCCTCGAAATCCCGCATTGGGACCCTGAAGGCCCCAGTCGCCTGGGACGTCCTCGGAGAACGACCGTGCGGTGACCCCGAATCCGCACCGACTCGCCACACGGTGTGGTCAGCATACCACTTGGGGGCCCTCGAAGGCAACTTTCAGTCGGGCCTGTCCCCCTACACGCCGATGTTGGACGCAAAATTGAAATTACCCCAGTGCGACCCGACCTAGAAGTTGGAGCCCCTAGGAAAGCAGCATTAGTTGCTATGCTATGCTATGCTATGCTATGCCATGATATGCTGCGCTATGCTATGCTACGCTATGCTATGCTGTGATATGCTATGCTATGCTATGCTGCGCTATGCTATGCTATGATATGCTAAGCTATGCTATGTCATGCAGCGCTGTGCTATGCTAAGCTATGCTATGCTATGCTAAGCTGCGCTATGCTATGTTATGCGATGCTATACTATGACATGCTATGCTATGCTGCGCTATGCTATGCTATGATATGATATGTTTGGCTAGGTTATGTGATGTTATGCGATGCGAATGCAGCGCTGCGCTATGCTATGCTAAGCTAAACTAAGCTAAGCTAAGCTAAGCTAACCCTCTAGGCAGAGCCTAGGTAGGGAAACACACCCATGTTATGCTATGATATGCTGCGCTATGCTATGCTATGCTGGGCTATGCTATGATATGCTATGCTGCGCTATGCTATGCTATTATATGATGTGCTATGCTATGCTAAAGCTCAGCGAAGCTAAGATGAAGGTAAGCTAAGCTAATATACCTGAGCTAAGATGAAGCTAAGCTAAGCTAAGATAAGATAAGCTAAGCTAAGATGAGATACGCAACGCTAAGCTAAGGGGGCGTAACTGGGGGAACCGCAGGGCGGATGCCGGGGGAACCGCCCGGGCCGGTTCCCACTGCCGGGCCCCTTTAAGATTCAGGGTAAGAACCCTTCTAGGCAGAGCCTAGGTAAGGAAATACCCCTCAAAAAAACACTAAAAAATTGTCAAACAATAGTCCCTAGACTATTTTTTACTATTCTTGAATATTCCCCCTGTAGAAGGACAGGCCCTACTTAAAACAAGCATGGCTGACGCAGCTGGTCTTCCTGGCGCCGTCCAGCGCCTGAGGCGCAAACGTGTCGGAGGAAAGCACACCGCCTGCGTGCGAAAGGTTCGTGCAGAAAACGACGCGAAATTCCGATGGTGCAGATGGTCCGAGAAGGTTCGTGCGGGGTGCCGTGCGGAAGACCTCCTGCGTGCGAAAGGTTCGTGCGAAAACACAACCTTGAACGAGCGCGGAGTTCTGATATTGCAGATGGTCCGATATCGGCCAAGTCAGGGCCGCCAGCGGCGGTCACACTTGAAGGCCGGCGCCGGGGACGCCGCCGCAACATTGGCGCGGCGCGAACGTGCCGTAAACGGGGCGGGGCTCTCTGAGATGAGAAGCTGTCTCGCCTCAGCCGTGCATCCCAGTGCCCCTGACACCTCCCAATGAGTTCCCAACGCGTACAGGAAGGGGCACCGATTTCAAAGCTCGATCCACCTCGCTAGAAAAACACCACGTGACATGTTCATCCGACCGGCACGCGTCCCACGAAGGCAAAGCCTGCCTCGTGTCGTTCGGGGACCAGTGGGGGTTGGCCAAGGGTGCCCTCAGAGGGTCCGTGAGAAATCGGGGGGAGGCCAGGGGGGACAACGGGCGGCCTGCGATTTTGAAGGGGCCCTGGGACACACAAATAAACAGACACAAATAACAGGATTGTCCCTATTTCCCCTTGTTTTCTTGAACGATTAATTGTGTCTGCGTGTTTCTCTTCCCTCCTGAGATTCTCTGGTCACCTTTAACCTCACCATGTTTACGTGCACCCACTAAGCCTTTGCTTGCTCCTCCTTCCCCGCTAGTCTAGCACATACGGCTTCGAAGCCTGCGAACGGGGCGGATGACGCGGACAGCTGCCGCGGGTGTGCCGCAATCGCGTGAGACCTCGCCTCTCGTCTGGGTAGCAGTGTCTCAAATTCGACGCATGGTACTGGAACATCAAGCTTCGGGTGGAGCCCACGCCTCAACCGTCTTAACGCCGACGTTCCTGCACTGCTGCGCTCCTCACCAGTCTCGGGGCGCTTGCAAGGATCTGCCTTTCTTCTGCGTATCCGATGCTGCGCAAAGTGGCCGCGCGCCACGCAGCAAGACAACAACGTTTCCAGGTCGTCGACCTGGACGCTTGCGAGCACATGGCCGTGCTCAGGAACTGCCGTCAACACATCGTCGCCCAGTCTGGGCAAGCTATCGCATCCGGCCCCAAGGCGGTCGGCCTGAGAGACCCTCCGAAGGCAGCCGGCCTCCTGGCGGTCCCCTTCCACGTGACCGGCTTGTCATCCTGCCCAAGAGTTCCGATATCGTGTTTTTTCCTATGCGGGGTCCCTGGAGCGGCCCCGAGGTCTGCACAACTTCCATAAGCCTGGAATTCCGTCCTGCATGTTTGAGGGTCCCAGGGCCCGTTGGGGGCGTCAGAATGCCGAGAGTTGTTCAAAGCTTCGGGATCGGCCAGAGTACCTCAGTGCGTCTGGGGAGAGGGCTGTTGGGAGCCCCTTGGCGCTGCGTTTGTTTTTGCAGTTTTCCAGTCGTAAGGTTTTGGTTTCTTTGTTTTGTGTGTTGCTCATTGTTCCCAACCCTCCTGCGTTGGGAACTCGTTATGAATAGAGCACTGCGGTCGCGTCTTCTTCCTCCTCCCGCCTCCCCCTCTCTTCGGGCTGCGATCTGTGAAACTGTCGCCACTTTCGAGGGCTGCTGGGGTGGCCAGCGGAGTGACGCCCCACGCATACTCACATTAGACCTGGCCATCCCTGGGGGGCTGCGACTTGTGAAACTGTCGCCACTTTCGAGGGCTGCTGGGGTGGCCAGCGGAGTGACGCCCCACGCAGACTCAGACTAGACCTCGCCATCCCTGGGGGGTTGCGATCTGCGAAACTGTCGCCAATTTCGAGGGCTGCTGGGGGGTCCAGCAGAGTGACCTCTTACGCAGATTCAGATTCGACCTCGCCATCCCTGGGGGGTTGCGATCTGCGAATTGGTCACCACTTTCGACGGCTGCTGGGGGGCCCAGCGGAGTGACGTCATACGCAGATTCAGATTACCCCCCATTCCATCCTTCTCCTGCCCCTCGTTGCTGCCCCCGTTATTCTTCGAACCTGGGGCCTCAATCCTCGTTCTTTCGATCGTCGTCCTGTGAGTCGTGCAACGCATGCGCATCCCATGTAGTTTGCGCAGCAAGTCACCACGTCTACACTGTCGCTGCTCCTGCTAATGTTGGCCTACTCCTCTTGCCACTTGATGCACATGGGTTGGGTACGTCGCAGGGTAATGTTTTTGTTTTTCAATGTTTCGCTGGCCTCTACAACACGACTCCTATTGAGAGCCTGTGCAGAAGGATTATTATTGAGAGCCTGTACAACAAATATTCTCATTGAAAGCTAATACAACGGATTCCTACTGAAACCCAATGAAAATGGATTAATATTGAGAGCCTGTGCAAAAATACTCCTCCTATTGAGCCTGCGCAACAGGATGTTTATTGAAAGCCAATACAAAAGTATTCCTATTGAGAGCCTTTCAACAAGGGTCCCTATTGAGAGGCTCTACACAAGGATTCCTGTTGGAAGCCAATACATTGGGCGCCCGAGTTATCCGGGGTAACTCGGGTCCAGGGTAACTCGGGTTTGGATTCCCGAAAAAGGAACCCGAGTTAGCCCTGACCCGAGTTACCCCTGATGATTCGGGGCTCTGGACGCCCGAACTATCCGGGGTAAGTCGGGTCCGGGGTAAGTCGGGTTCGGATTCCCGAAAAACGAACCCGAGTTATCCCTGACCCGAGTTACCCCTGATGATTCGGGGCTCTGAATACAAAAAAGGATTC